CGTACTGCCCCCTGCCCCTCCCCCTTCCTACCCCATGGGCCAATACTGCCCCTTGCCCCACCCTGACCCATAGACCGTACTGCCCCTTCCCCTCCCCCTTCCTACCCCATGGGCCAATACTGCCCCTTCCCCTCCTCCCCTCCCCTCCCCTAGGTTGTACTGCCCCCTCTAACCACCCCTTCCCAGGTGAGTGGATACCGGACACCCCCTCCCCCCCCGGCTCTCACCAGCTCCAGCGTGGCCTCCGGCTCACTGCGGTTCAGGGTGAAGATCCCCTCCTCGGCCCCCAGGATCAGGTGTGGGTCTGGAAGGGAGGGGGAGGGAATTGGGGCAGCGGGGCAGGGGGGATTTGAACCTTGCACTGCCCAGACCTCGGTGGGGGGCAGGGCGCTGGAGTCTGGTCACAAGTCCAGGCCTGTCCATTCACGCGGGGGGGGAGGGGAACCATGCAGAGGGGCCCCCCTGCCACGGGTGCTGGGCCCCCCATGCTCTCCCCCTATCTTGGGGCCTCCTGCACCCTGCCCACCCCCCACCTTGGTCCCTCCCACTGCCTGCCCCCCCCCAGAGCTCCCGCCTCCCCCCCGGTGCCCCCCATCCCCCGCCTCCTACCCGGCACCTCCATCACCCCATGCCATCCCGGGGTCCCCATCACCCGCCTCCCCCCCAGCACCTCCATTCTCCCCTGGTGCCCCCATTCCCCCACTGACCCCTCTGGCCCTCCCATCTCCCCCATGCCCCTACCTTGGGTGGTGGGGTGCGTCCAGGTGGCCGTGGCCGCGATGCGCAGGGGGCAGCCGTTAAAGACCTTCTTGAAGAGGGATCCATCCTGGGGGGACGAGCAGCGATGGGGGCTGAGAGGCTCCAGGCCCTGGCCCCATCCCCCACAACCGCCCCCCAACAACCTCCGCCCCCCCGCCACCTCTCACTCCCAGGCTGCTGGGGCTGGTGCAAGGTGTAACGAAGTGGGGGGGTTTCTTGTTTTCGGTGGGGTTTCAATGGTTTGCATGCGGAGGGGGTGGGACTCAGTTTCCCTGGGTGTTACTGGTTTAACGAGGTGAGGGGAGAGGGAGTGTGTTTTGCAGAGGACCGGAGAGAGGACGTGGGGACCCAGCCGATGGCTGGGAGGACGGATACCCCAGCGACCGGTGACCTGGGGACCCGCAGGCCCAGCTGAGGAGACGCAGCCGGTTCTGGCCAGTGGGGGGACAATGGGCTGCAGAGTGAGGACCCAGTGACCTAACCAGCCGGTTCCAGCCAGAGGACAGAAGCAGGAGAGGAGGCCCCGGTTTACAACCCTGTTTACCTGGAGAGAAGACAATGGACAGAGGCGGGGCCTGGGGCCGGGGATCTCAGATGCCCAGCTGGGAGCAGGGGGGCTTGGGGCTGGAGAGGGGGAGCAGGCAGAGCCCACCTGGGTGCAGAGGAGACTGGGATGTGCTGGGCTGAGGGAGGCCAGGCCTGAGGCCGGGAGAGTTTCCTGTGCTGTGTTCAACTCTCAATAAACCCTCCTGTTTTACACTGGCTGAGAGTCGCTCTGGGCTAGAGAACAGGGGGCATCGTCCCCTTCGGGGGTGGAGGCCCCGGGGGTCCAGAGCAAGTGGACTCCCTGAGGGGGCTCACGGCAGAGACAGACGTGCTAAGGCTCAGAGAGGTGCGGCTCCAGGAGGTGGAGGGGCCTGACCCCGAGAGAGAGTGGACCCCCGAGAAGGGCTGTCGCACTGAAAGGGGCACCCCCCATGGACCGCACGGGGCCAAGAGTGGGTATGATCTGTGAGTCCATGACACATGGTCAGGAGACGGAGCCAAGCTGGAGCCAGGGGGTACAGAGAGTCTGAGACATGGACATGGGGCAGCAGGCCGGTCCCACCCCTGGCCCACGGGGCAGCAGGGCCGGTCCCACACCCGGGCGCTTCTATAGCCGAGGGCTGTGCTGGGGGGTCTCACCTGTCTCCGTTTCTTCTCTGTCTTGGGGGGCAGGACGGGGGGCTCCTCGCTCCGGGGTCCGGGCCACAGGGTGGGATCTGGGGATGGGGCGAGGATCAAAGGGTGCCTGTGTCGCTCTGGCCTGGCTCCCCGAGCCCCCAGACCCAAACACCCACCCCACGGAGAGGTGCCACAAGGGCTGCACTCAGCCTCAGTGACTCCTGCGCCCCACTGGGGGGGCTCAGACCCCCACCCTGGCCTGGGAGTCCCTCACTCCCAACCCGCAGCCCTCTGCTAGCCCAGTCCTGCCCCCCCCAGCTCTGCCGGTGCCCCTCACTCCCGACCCGCAGCCCCGTGCTAGCCCAGCCCTGCCCCCTCCCCAACGCTCTGGCGTGCCCCTCACTCCCGACCCGTAGCCCTCTGCTAGCCCAGTCCTAGGGCTCCCTCCCAGCCCTGCCAGTGCCCCTCACTCCCGACCCGCAGCCCCCAAGCAGAAGCCCTGTTCAGCCCCCTCCCCCCCGCAACTCACCTGAGCTGGCTGAGAGGTGGGAGCGGCGGGGGTCGGCGTGCTGGGTGGGGTGTGGGGTCCGGCTCCCCACAGGCCCGCTGGAGCACCGCACCAGGGAGACCGGGGTGCCGGGGCGCTGCAGGAGCTGCCCCCCGGGCTGGGGCCGCGTCTCCTCGGCGGGTGTCTCGTCGGACCGGCTCCGGAACTTGGGCTGCAGACGGGGGAGGGGGCGTCAGATGGAGACCGCAGGAGAATGGGGGGGGGGCCCAAGGGGGGATAGCAGGCTGGCTGGGCGGGTGGGTCTGACAGAGGGGGTTACTGGCTGCTTGGAGGGATGGGGGTGATGGGGGCGGGTGACACATGGCCAGAAAGGGTTAAACATCCTGCAAAATAAATACCCCTCAAAAGCCACGTTTGTGTTTTTGTGTATTTACACACGGAGGCGTAGGGTCGCCCATGTAACCACCTGTTCCTGTCTAGGCTGGATTCTGATCGTTCAGCGCTCACACAGCATCCTGGCGTTGAAATGAATTGTAAACACGGGCTAGCTCAGTATTCATCTCGCCTTGAAACGTTCCGGGAATGGCGGAGGAACCAGCTAACTAAGGCCCGGGGATGGACCCCTGCAAAGTCAGCCTGGTTCCCTTTCATCCCCGAGGGAATCCCAACTTGTCCAAGGACGTGACATTGTATCAAAGACCCTTGGGGCCTGTCACGGAGTCCCCGGGCGATGCTCTGGAACTGCTCCCCACAAAGCCAGTCAGGACTTTGGGGAGCCTCCTCTCCCTTGGAGCAGACCGTCTTCAGGGCAAGAAGCTCACACGGCTTCACCTCCTGGGTCTGACCATGGAGCATTCAGCATATGCCCCTCCGTGCGCTTCCCACAGCGAGTCCGCCCCGGCGGGGTCCTGGGGAAGCCAGAGGGTCCTGCACCCCCACTTCGCAGTCAGACATGACTCTCGGCCAGCCAGTAACACAGAGGTTTATTAGATGACAGGAACAACGGTCTAAAACAGAGCTTGTAGGTAAAGCGGCGAACGGGACCCC